TTACCTCTGAAATTAAAAATTCTTGATCTCTTACATATAATCTCACTGAAAATGTTGTAATAGTTCTAAAAATTCTGTCTCTGAATGAGACTAATTTTCATTTTTGAACTTAAAATTATTTGAGTTATCACTAACCTCTGCAATTACTCATCAATTGTTTTTTTCTATGTGAGCACATTTTTTAAATAAACAAATAATATTTTAGGAATTTGATTGTGCTTTAATAAAAATATAAACAACAGATTAATCTTAACACATGTTATGTGATTTTTCTATTTAATTATCAACACTGGATGTCTTCAACATGAAGCCCAATTTCCTTAAGTGCTGGAAGAAATAGCATGCACATTTCTGGACCTTTGTAGTTTGGCCATATGGTAGTTTTGAAATTGAAAGTTTGATTGAAGTCTCCTAAAATTTACTTCTTTGGGCCCTTACAATAATATTTAAATATGATATTACCTGAATTAAATTATTGCCTGCTCAAAATAACTATTAAATTAATTAAATTATTGCCTGCTCAAAATAACTAGGAATTGCAATTCTCCTGAACTAACCCTGACTGATATATACTAGAGGACTCATTGAGGTCAAGCACTTTATTCCCAAATGGCAAAAAATTATCATGATGTCTTCTGTGCACACCTTACTTGTATTAAGAAAGAAGAGGTCACTTCTGCCTCTTGGAGGCTAGTGCAATATCCTGATGAATTTAAATGACTTACTTATATGAATTCATAAGATGAATCTGTATTTCCACTAGAGTTTAGGGATTAAACAGCATGAAAGAAAAAAAAATTTAAATATTTATTTTTCTTACACATTGCATAAAATTATACAGAAGAGGATTCCACATGTAGCCTTCCAGAAGTCAACATTGGATTGATTTTTTACTTAATATGCAATTTTGAATTCGTATCTTCTTATAACCAAAATACAATAACCCAAGATGACTCATAGGGTAGCTACCTGTGATACATTTCAAGGTGATGACAGGTAGTGAGCTGTATGTATTAAGTATTTGACTCATATGAAAAATTCTTTAAAATTTATTTGTGCATTATATTATATATAATAGTGAATTTCATTGTGATTCATGTGAGATCTTGACTTCAGTTTTTCTCATCATCTATCACTGTCTTGGACATTCCCAACAGCCCCTATATTCTCAGAATATTAAAATTGGGAAAGTCCATTCAACATGATTATGTTTTGCTTTTTACATAGATTTATCTGCTTATGTAGATATAATGAAGGCAGAGAGTTGAATTTTATTTGGATCAAGATTTTGTCAGTGTAATTGGATAAAAGGAAAGATCGAGAAAGAGAAAACTCAAATTGTTAGGATCAGAATAAAGAAAGGGGCTGGGAACTTGCCTAGTTCAATGGTAGGGAGTTTGCCTAGCATGAACACATGTACTCTAGGCTCCAGGTTTGAGAACCAAACACTTGAAAAAGAGAGAAAGAGAATGAGTTCCTGAAAATAAATTAGAAAACTAACTTAAGTGGATAAATACTTAGAAAGCATGAGGAAAGAACTACCAAACTAATTCAAGAAGAAATAATAAGCCCATAAAATATAGAGACTGAATTAATAATAAAAAGAAACTCCCATTTGAAAAACTCAGGTCCAGATATCTTCACTGCTGAATTCTAACAAACATTAAAGAATCAGTACATTTCTTTTACAACTAGGACTAGAACACTTCTCAACTCATTTTAAACTGGGAATAAGACCATTGTTAACCTGAAACAAAAACCAGCTGAGAAAATTTTGTATCCCTGGGATGAAACCCACTTGATCATGGTATGCTATTTTCTTAATGTGTTTTTAAATGTGGTTTTCTAATAAATTAAGGAAATATGGAATAATAAAGACCCAGAATATCCAGAGCAATACTGAACAAAAAGAGTGATGCTTGAGAACTCACAATACCTGATTTCAAATTATATAGAGATATGTAGTGACAAAAACATCATGGTATTGGCATCAAAATAGACCAAATGAATAGAATAGAAGACACAAAGACAATCATATAGATACAGTCATCTAATACTAGACAAAGGTGCCAAAAACATGTTGAAGAAAATATATCCTTTTTAACAAATAGTGCTGGGAAAACTATATATCAACATGTAAAAGAATAAAAAATATATATAAATAAAAAAGATTCATATCTTTCACCCTACACATAAGTCAACTCAAAGAGGATGAAAAACCTAGGAATCAGACCATAAACTTTGCAAATGCTAGAACAAAACAGAGTGAACACTTCAACTAATTGTTATAGGCATTAACTTCTTTGACAACACTCCTAAAACTCAAGAAATAAAACCAAGAATCAATAAGGGAGAGAGCATCAAATTAAGAAACTTCTACATAGGAAAGAAAATAAGAGAATGAAGATAGAGCCTATGAAAGGAGAAAATTTTGCCAGCTACTCCTCTGACAGGGGGTTCATATCTAGAATACATAAAGAACTAAAAAAAAAAACTTAACCTAAACCTCCAATAAAACCCCCAAATAATCCAATCAGTAAATGAACAAAAGAACTAACCAGACATTTCTCAAAAGAAGAAATGTAAGTGACTAGGAAATTTTTTAAAAGTTTGATATCCCTAGCAATCAGAAAATGCAAACAGAAATTACATTGAGAATCCATCTCACTTCAATTAGAATGACCATCATAAAGAATACAAGTAATAAATGGTGGAAATCACGTGGGGGAAAAGGTACACTCATACTTTTGTTGGTAGGATTGCAGATTAGCCCTGGAAAGTAGTATGGAGAATCCTCCAAAGACTAGGAACCAATCATATGGAACCACCATATGATCCAGCTGTGCCACTCGTTAGTATTTATTCAAAAGAATTAAAGTCAGGATACTATTATGAAATGTTAATAGTGGAATAACTCAAAATAGCCAACATATGGAACCAGCCCAGATGCTTGTCAACAGATGAATGGATAAAGAAAACATGGTATATATACACAATGGAGTTTTACTCAGTCCTAAAAAAGAATAAAATTATGTCATTTGCTGGTGAATAATGGATGGAACTGGATAGCATTATGCTAAATGAGATAAGCAAGACTAAGAAAGTCAAGGATCTAAAGTTTTCTTTCATATATGAAAGCTAGAGCAAAATTAGAAATCAAGAAAAAGATGAGGGCATGAAAATTGAAGTTTATCAATGGGGTAGAAGAAGAGGATTGACGGGGAGAGAGAAGGGATGGAAAAGGGAGGAACTGTGGAATAAAGTTGACCAAATTATGCTATGTATATCTATGAATACACCACGGTGAATTCCATTTTTATGTATGTCTATAAAGCACTAATTTAAAAAACTGCAAACAAGTAGAAGAAAGATCATTAGAGGAGAGGACTGGGAAAAGAGGAAGGGAGCAAGAGAAGGAGAGTGGAAGTACTGGGAATTAATATGGAGCAAATTATATTTGGTACATGTACAACTATGTCAAAATGAACCTTGCTATTATGTATAATTATCATGTGCTAATTATAAAAAAGAGTTATATATGCTTGCTCATTCCCATTTCAAGTTTTGGCAAATCTTTCCAAGAAGAGAAAACCAAAATTTGAGAGTAATTGTCATATCTAGGTTTTGAAACTCTCAATGTGATTGGTTGACATCCTTTTCCCATTTGTATTGATGATAGATTTTATTTTTTTCATATATTAAAAGTAACTAGTGATTGGGAAAAAATGTCAATATGTGTCATTATTCCCATAACTTTCAGTTAGACCCTGAGAAGCAAAATTTAGGGAGCTGTTTCTGTCTAGTATTCTGTGATACATTCAACCTTGGGCTAAACATATTAATTCTGTAGAATGACAGAAACTCTATTTCCCAGTTTTGTCAATCTCCACCCTTGCAGAAAGATGTAGTGGGCTGAGTTGAGCATATTTCTTTGAGATGGCAATGAGACCTACAGCAATTTGTGGCTGCCTCTTCAATTTAGGTCACTTCACAGACTTTCTTATCCCCTGGCCATAAGAAAAGTCAGGACATTGTTACTCAATCGAAGTCCCAAGAAATGATCAAAATAATGATCATTCTGGGATTGCATTCTTCACCAGGGTGAACTGGAGAATAT